ACAAACCCAGCCACATCAACAGTGCTATGACAGGATACTTCTCTTGCAGGTGAGTTTTCATTTGAATCCTCAAGCAAAAAGGATCCACTTAATGAGAACTTGCTTAAAAAATCATCTGTTTCTACTACATTTGTCTCAGAAGGTACAACTGAACATGAAATTTCAGTGGAATTAAGAGCCCTTGTATCAATTAAGTCCAATGACCGCACACTGGTGGAGGAAGTTAATCTTGTCTCTGACACCTTGTTCTTCTGAGGGAAAATTCTGGTTGATGGTGAAGGTGGTAGCATCATAAGAGAAAAAAAAAACCGAGCCAAATCATCAGGGCTACACAAAGAAACAGCATCAGATGAGTTTTCGTTTGAATTCTCAACCAAAAAGGATTCCCTTGAGGACATGCTCTTAAAATCAACTAAGTCTACCATGCTTTTCTCAGAGGATATCATTGAACTCGTAATTTCAGTAGACTTAAAAACACTTGAAGAATCAGAGACACACTTCAAGTCCCCTGCTAAACTCTTAGGGAAAGTGATCACATTGTCATTTGATTGAAAGTTATCCCTCTCAAATTCCCACTGCGTGCTTTCCTCTCTCTTCCAAAAGCTCTTGATTCTTCTCTTTTTCTCTCGATTGTAATCTTTTTCCTTCTCTCTGTTCCTGTATTCATGGTGCTAGGGGACTCTTTCTGAACCCAGCCTCCTCTCTCCTTCGAATCTTCCCACATTTTCTCCATTTTCCCTCTCAATCCATGCTCTGGTTTTCAGATCTGGTCCCTTGGGTCGGTTCTCTCTCGCTCTTTCTCCAGATCTGGATTTGATACCCACGAGTGATTCTCAGTTTCTCTTGCTTCTTGGCCTCACCTATGATAGCGGCTGCCATGGAAGCCAATGCCAACGCCAGACACATTTCAATGTCCTTCAACGAGCGAAACGAATTGCTTATCTAGCTCTGTTTGGCTCCAACAATTAACACAAATTTCTCATGGGTTATTATTTCGTAGAGATTTTTCACAACTCGATTTGAGAAGAAAAGAAAGTATGGAGGAGAGAGGCTGGGGGTAGAGATGGGGGATCAAAGACGAAGAATTGAGAGGGTTGTGCAAGTGTAATTATGTAATTTTATAAACCATTTTGGATTAGGAAAACTGTTTTAGAGGCGGACTTGTACGTACAATTATTTAAATATTTTTAATTTTGTTTTTATATTATTTTTTTAAAATATTTAAACAATTTTATATTCAGTTGTGGATCATAGGACGACATTTCTTGATGATGACTGCACTTCCTCAGACGCAATTGAGCGGTTGATAATTGCCACGCAGGAAATATCCTCTTAACTTTCTCATTGACTTACCTGCTACTTCACGTTCTTCCTTCTCCATAATTGGCTCCATCAACTTCTCTCATCGGAATCAGAAGGAATCAGTCTTGCAATTGATACTTCTAATTGAATCAGCTTTGTCATCACTGTCCAACCTCCTTTCTGCTAGTTGCAGGTACACTATCTTGCTATTTAGATCTTCAATCTCGATTTTGTTCTATATATATATGTTCTCTTTGGACTATGAATACACAAATTGAACCTACTGCTACTTCTAGTAATTTGTTTTGCCTGGTCCAAGTTAGTTATTAGTGTCTACCTCTTTCTACACCTGTAGGTATACACTATCCATTTACATCTTCATCAATCTTTGATTCTGTTTATGGTTTTTTTTTTTTTTTTTTTTT